TATAAGAACGGCAATTTTATAAAATCACAATAACCGCAGACCGCCATTTTGGAAACTCTAAATAAAAAGTTACCAAACATGTAATTTTGTTGCGTAGCGAGTTAGGTATAAATGTATTAATGTAAAAAACTTACAACGATAATTTGAGAGCATTCAACTCCTGGCGGGACTAACACGTACAAAAAAGTACCTCTGAATTCATTTAGCCAATTTACTATCCTCATGATTGAATAACATCGCTGATGAATATACAGAGCCTTGAAAACCTTTTTTTGTTATTATATTCCATGGTCGTAATTGAAGTTCGAGCATGATCTTATTATAATTATATTCAGTACATATTTTTTTTATAAAAAACTCTATCTAATTTTTCTTATGAATCAGTAATACAATATACAGAGTTATTGTATTATAGATATTGATGTAAAAAACACGGATTTATTTCATAGTGATTCTGATTCATAGGAAAAATTAGATCATTATACAGGATTATTTGTAAAAAACTAACAACCTCACAGGTCTATATTCCTAGCATCATAAACGACAGCTTTTGTTCCATGACTAATATAGTAAGTGACTAATATATATATATATTACACATACATCGCCATGATCCGCTGAGATATCCGCAGCAAGTCTTGTTATAGGCGTCTAGGGTATCCAACTACACCGGTGCACCACATAGAGTCATCAGTCATTTAATGTACCACCCCGGTGTACAACCTACACCCGCTTGTGTTTGGGCCTCCCTGACTCGGCAGCAGATTGCCAAGTGACGGTGGTGGAGTGAATAGATCGAGTCTTACACTTACTATAACATCAGAAATACATTCCTAATCTGTTATGCCACCAACAATCTAAGCTAATTACCGCCAATTAGTGTATTTACAGCCTATTTTCAACTTTCTCTTTGTTACCGTTGTATTGTGTAATTGATTTTCATGGGATACTACAGTGTATAGCATCAATACGATAAAAAGTGGATGGGATATTAAACTTCGTGTTCAATGCATCAATTTTGAATTGAATTTATTAATGATTATTATGTAGTGTACTTATAATGATATTCTTTGGATGCACCCCTTTTTCAAATCCCAAATTTCTTATTCTAAGGTTGCCTGGAAGAGATTGCTACATAGCAATAAGGCCGCCTGTTGCATATTATTTTACTATCTTTATACCTACGATACTATATTATATTTTAACTGTAAAATTTTTATGTGCAATAAAGAATATGTCATTCATTCATTCGTTCAATTTTGTTCTCTTTGTGCAGTACCTGTCCGTTTGTTTAGAAAGTTTAATTCTGGACCTCAATTTTTCTATTTTAGCAATCAAAACTTAGCAGTACTTGTAGTTATAACTGTCTATAAACTGCGCAAAAGATGACTGCATGGAGAGATTACCAACCATTGCTGTAATCAGAAGAAAAAAGGCCCGAGAGTTTTATTTGGGGCATTATAGTCAAGTTGGCCTGCATGCAATCATACTATTTACGTGCAAGTGTGATGAAAAACATTGTATGTTTCACGGGCGGTAAGGGAATTACGAACCTCGTCTCCGCAAGCCCTCAACCATCGACTTCGGGCTTCTAATAGAGTCTCGGTCGTAATTCATTATTTATCGCCCTTAATACACAAAGTACCATTGTTTTGTAATAAACAACGTTTACAAAATTACAATAAGATCTTATTCTTAATTTATAATTAGAAAAAAGTTGTAGGGTTTACTTACTTACTTACTTACTGTATAGGGTTTAGGCTAACACACGTTTCAGACATTCGACCTAAGACATTTTATACATGAGACTGCTCTAAAGATATGTATTTACGATAATAATGAAATAATTTTGTATAGCTTTCAAAGACTTTTGTATTGTAACAATTCTATAAAATTGACCTATGACTTCAAATTCTAAATTATATACATTTGTGAAAGTTAAGTACAAAAACCTCTGGCTAACGGCAAAGGAAAGCATCGTGTTCAAACTTGCACGTAGAAGAAGGTTCACGTGTGAAGTGCCTACATTGAACTAGCGTTGTGGTTTAGGGCCTAAACTCTCTCCTAAGAAGTAACTTCTCCTAAGAAACTGTGCCCAGCAGTGCGACGTAGGAATAGGGCTAACGCATAGCGTTTTCTAGACAATGCTGAGTTGGTGACCGTACACAGAAAGTACCTGTATACTTATCGCCCTTGTTTATGTGACTAATTTGTGTTTTAATTTTATTTTTAACCCACTTCAAAAAAGAGGAGGTTTTTAATTCTACTGTATTTGTTTTGTGTATGTTATGCCATTACCCCGACATTTGCAAATCGATTTCAATGATTCTTTTTTGTTGGAAAGGGTAAAGTAAATATTAACTCACAAATTAGGGGATGAATCCGGTATATTGGATTTCACCCACTTTCCGTTAACTGATTCCAATAAAACTTGGCAAATAGATGTAATTTTACAAACTTTTGAGATAGGTTTTTTTTTAAATAAAAATTTATAATTATCGAGTTCTTAGGTTTTCGCGATTGTTACACATGGGAAACAAAACATTTTTTCCGGATTTAAATCGCGTAAACATTTCATGTAACGTTGACACGAAACGTCGGTTTGTTTGAAAAAACTAATATACGCGACTTAAATCCGGAAATTAATTTCATTTCCAATTATAATCATTCGGTTTTATTTGTGATTTTGTTTTCTAATCATTTATTTACGTTTTACGTTTGAATGTTTGCAATATTATTAATAATAGTATTATTATTATTATTAATAATTACTTTCTCAAACTCGTATCTTACAAAGAGTGATTATTCAGGATAAGGCATAGCTTTCTATTTATTTTAAATTTATTATCAAGGGTGTTAATTTGGATGCATTACTTTAAGAATAAGTAAAGGCCAGTGTGTAAATATGTAGGAAATGTGATGTGAAATTAGCCTGCAAAATTTGTATATACAATCCATCTTTTGCATTTCAGTAACTTTGTGCTTTAAGATACGAGTTTGAGAAAGTAAGGCGGGTTTTTGTACTGTTTTGTTTCGTTTTTCTTTTGTGGTAGTAAAGAAAAATGTATTTAAAAATATTTTACAGAGTAAATCGTAAGTATATTGTTTACAAAATCCTTCTTACGGAAATGTTACATTCCTAACACTGAGTATTTGATCGAGCCATCTTGAATCGAATGTAGCAGTGGGGAGACAGACTCACGGAAACCGGTTCGCGTGTTTTTGTTTATACCGATCATTTTGTTGTGCGCCTACCTGTACTTGCTTAACCGTGCGGGCCAGTTATCTATCTAACATAGTACAGGAGACGAATGGTGGTTTAAGCTTGGCTGATGTTTTAAAATATAAATTGAATTATATATCGATGGTGGAAATTTGAAATGTCGTAATAAACATTTTATCGTAAGGGAAAATGACCATATGACAAAATGTCTCCTAGGGCATTTCAAATTTCCACTGTCGATATAACATGTATCCAATTTTGAAATGTCGTAAGCTAGATTTTGCAGTACGGGACATTTTCCATTACGGATTCCTTACGACATGTCAAATTTCCGCCGTCGACATAGTAAATTGTATCTTATATTATATATGTACATGATGCTAGTTATATACTCTTGATAGATAACGTAACGGTAATTACACCATAGTAAAATAACTTTAATTACATGATATTCTCTTTTTATAAATTTAAATTAAAAACAAAGTCAACAAATGGCGCTTATCCTTTCAATTATCTTTTTCTTTCAATTATTTCTATAAATTTTAATACTTTTTTATGTGTGAAGAAAGAACTTGAACTATATAACGCTTACACCAAAGGTGCGTTCGTGTGCGTGTGCGTAAGGTCATACAAAATGACATTTTTTTAGTAGATATTTAAAGATTCTAACGAAATTAGTCGATCGGTAAGCTAGGAGAGATATAAATTTTGCATGTACATAATTTGGTTCATGTAGTTCGTATTATTTTTATGACATTCACGTGATAAGTTTCTATCATAAGGTTACATAGAAGAAATTGCTACTTTTAGCTTTTAGCTTACTCTGTGACACTTGCATTACTGTTGTGTTGTCATTGTAATTTTCGCGGAAGATTCCAAACAATAGAAATGCCTTAAGCTTCGACTACTATCAGAACCGATATCGCCAAAACTCACACATTCTTAATTTGAAACTACAAAATCTCGTACAGTCAAGAGCACGTCAAGCATGACACTTAAGACTTAAATCCAACTCTATGCGCCGCTTACGATAACAATGGTCCAAAGTACAAATGTCAAGCTTGATGTGCTTTTGACTGTACCTAGGTTCAAATTGAAAAAATAATAACAAATTCTGGATTGTTAATGTAATTTAAACTTTACCTTGTTGGCATATCGTTGAAAGTTCAATACTGTCAATACTTATTATTGCAAGTTACGACGTTTTGATATGATATTGTAAGTTAAATCAATGTGCCGCCGTCTAGCGGTTAATTGCTGAACGACGACGAATTGGAGCTATTTATTTAGTTCTCCAAAAAAAAGCGACCATAACGCAGGGGTATAAGCTTTATTTTTGTTTCTTGTAACAAAAAAAATATTTCGATAAACAGACTTTCCGATGATATGAAATACCACCACGGGTAATATTTTTGGTGCGGCATTTTTCTAGGAATTTAGAGAATTTGCACGAAAGAATGACACGGTCATACTATACAAAGCGAAAATGGCGGACTGAACTCAAATAGGTCTTTCGAGACCTATCCTTGAGAAGCGTCGGATGCTAACTGACCACTTCTAGAATATATTTATTGTTCTGTAGTAATTTTAATGTGCAATAAAGAATATTTCATTCATTCATTCATTGATTTAAAAGCGCTTTTGACGTATGATCACATGTGGCTTTATTATATCTACCTGCGGTATATATAATAATTGCTTTCGTTATAGCGCTATTTGTTTCCAATAGCACAGAACCTAGATCAAAATTACCTCAACTTTGGCACCCGAACTACGCGAGTGAAGGAGCTTGATCCCCCCTCACGGCTCAGTTATTGACCCGAGCACCGGCTCTGCGCGCGCACCCAAAAAGTCTAGCACAGTCAGTCTTTCTAGACTGCTACCTACAATGCCTGCTCCCTGCGACTCTTGTAAAGGTAAGAAATTTATTTTCTAGATTTTTTTATTGCACGCTATAATTTATTTTAACCAATTTTAATTCGTCTATATAAGTAAATAAATAACTAATTCCATATTCCGAAAATAATATATTTTTAAATTTTTTAAATATCAGTATGAATTTTAATGATGTTTATTTATTCAATATTTGCTGAATAATGTCCACATGCCAAATTTTTGGCGTTGTTATTGTTTTGCCGGATATATTTTCCGGTATGTCTGGTACCGTGCATGCCTTTCCAGTCGGCGATGACGCAATACTGTTTTTCTAGATATAATTTCATCACAACTTTTCATATACATTTGAAATAGTATTTTGTAATTGAAACTTGATCTCATACGTGCAAAGGTGCATTTTTATTTCTTCGCTTTTGAGTAGAACCTATCAAATAGCCCAATCTACGATATCATACCATGACGTCATTGATTTTATGAGCAAGTAAAATTGCCACGTTTCTTTGTTAATGTAAAATTGCAACATGTTTTGCAAAACTTTAGACTTTATTATGAAATCGACCGCGTTGATGTATTTTCTATTGATCATAATTTACATTGTAGAGTTAAGAAGATTTACCCAGAGCCGTAATGAATTTAAAATTTCTTCTTCATTCTTACATTTTTCATTCACATTGTTAATTCTTCATTTACAGTCTTACTTCTTCAATCTTACATTGATATAAACTTTCACGATTTTCGAACATTATTTGATTTTAGAAAATCGGGACTTATATACAAATATTATATTTTATTTACCTCGACGTTTTGGACGAGTTGCAACGTCCATGGCCTCGAAGAGAGAGTCCCTTCGTTTAAGTCCCAATTTTTTAAATCAAATGAGGTGTTATATCATTTATTTTTAATAACACTTGGCGCCTTCAATAAAAATATGGCGACGACATCCTGAGCCACACTATGTTAAGAATTTGGACTGTATTATGATTGTATATTCTGCGGCTAAAATTTGTTCATTATGGTGGAACCACACTGGTCAAATCTATGAATTCGTCAAAATGCGAGTAGTAAAATTTTTCTTGTTTCGGGACAAGCATGGCGTCTAATTAGCCGTACTGCCAGATCTTAGCTTGTAATTTATCTTCAATAGTTTTTCAAATGATGAAACACAATATGTATAGTAAAAGTATACGTATATAACCTATAGTATAGGTTGTTGTTTATTAGCATGAAATCGTTATTGAGGTAATATCCCTTTTCAAACAAAAATTAATAAAACTAACAAAACGATAGTTGAGAACTTAGAGCAAGAAGAACTTTATTTCAATGATTAAATTTTTATAACAGGCTTCCAGTTACGGCCAGCTACCACAGTGCACAGAAAACATTAAGAGTGATATGCGATCTCTACAGTCAGTAGTTAGTCTGTTATTCGGAATGTCTACCGTCTTACACATAGTATACCATGTCTACTACAATATAGAAGACTGAGAGATAGCAAACCATATATCGCTTAAGGCGAAAATTGGTAGTTTTTACTTTTAAACGTTACTTTATTTATGGTGCAAAGGGACGGGACGACCATATCATTCTACATCAGTTTTGATTATAGTGACACTCCCTACTGACCCTTAAGGTATACGAGAAGGGCACTATAACCTATGCGTGCATAGGAACCTTCTAAGTTCAGGTTCCGACTTCAGATCAGCCAGTGTACAGGGTTGTCAAAGATCGTTGTCACTGACTTCATCCGGTTCTCATGAGGCTAATGCCTCGGGTGAGCTTCCCCGAGGGCACGTAACGGCGTCTCTCCAGTTACCAATAACCTAATCGGCTGGAGGGACCGGAGTATATCTAGCTCTCCGAGCTAGTGCCAGAAATGCGCACCGGTTGCAGTATCCAGCGACCATCAGCTTGTTTTTGATTGCCTCTCCCGATTGGAAACTGCGTCTTTTCCGCGTCGAGGCGCATAATTGCGATTCATAACTGGCCGATCTTTCGACTTTTGACATTTCTAATTAGAACAATAGTTGATTTAACTTACAAATTAGAAAGATATAGTAGGAATCAGGTTCATCTTCTTGCTCAGAATGCCATCTGGTTCCGAGACTACCCGATCGGTTTGATTCCAATTTGAATCAAAATCAGGACGCTTGTCCGTACATAGCTTCCGACTTAAAGGACAACTCACGTGCCTCGCGCCCCTCCTCGCCTTCACATTACTACTTGGTGACAGAAGTAGGTAAGGTAGCAGTATTTCCCTGGACGAACTCTTTTTAACCGACTTAAAAAAGGAGAAGGTTTAAATTCGACTGTATTTTTTGTAATCTCCGTTTTGAACAAAATTTTGGTCGAAAAGAAATTATTGAAGCAAAGTTATAATCGCTGCTACATACAATGCATGGAACTCATTATAGTTCTGTGTACAGAACCATAGTGAATTTTTTACAGTTCATTAGCGAATACCATAGACAACACAATTGCGGTTCAGTCAGAACTCAAAAGAGCGTCTCTAAGATAAATGGTTTATGAAATTATGATTGACAAATTGAAGTACAGTAGAAAAATCATCTTTTGGGAAAAACGTAATTCTTAACATGACCATAGACAGTGTAACATTTTAAAAGAAAAAAATCTTTTTTTATATAAGTAAAGGTTGCAAAAACGTCTTACGACTTAAGTGGAGGTAGAAGAAATTAACATGTTGGTATTGGACCAATACAATCAGGGTGTAATCAAATGCCCCATTGCGGACAATATAATAATAATAATAATAATAATAAGACATTCATTCATGAACACATTCAGAATAAAATGGTTAACAGTAAAGATTTTCGGAAATGTGGACTCTAGTGCCAATGAAAAGGATGGATCCTCAGCACTACTGCTGCTTTTCAGGTTCCACCTTCATACATGGACGTCCGCTGCTGACAATTGTCAATCATTACAGGAATTACATTTTAAATTTACAAGACAAGCTTAAAATTAATTTATTATTACGATGAGCACACGATTATACATGTAAAAGAACATTAATTACCGGATACAAATAGTACTGGAACAGGTCCCAACTTCTTACATAGGTACTTCTTACATCAAAATGATGATGTATGTAGTGGTATACATTTTTTTTTTGACAAAATCCACGTTTTCAGGTACGTGCGCTGGCGGCAAAGCCGCGTGTGGCGCCAACTGCACTTGCGGGCCCAACTGCGCTTGCGGTGATGGCAAACCCTCGGGTGAGTATACCATTCTTCTGCATTAATCCAGTCCTACTGTAAAGATATCACTATACAAAACTTAAACTCAAATAATGTTTATTTCATAGGTAAGCAAATTACATTTGAAATTTTGGTAAAAATTCGTAAGGCAGATTCCCCTGACAAGAATAAGTAAAAAATTCTAGGGGTTGCTCAATATAATAAAAGTTCTTATACGTATTTATCACATTGGCTGTTTCATAGGACTGTTGATCTATAATAACGCAAAATTAACTTCATTTACAGGGGATAAACCATGCTGCAAGGGCAACAAGTAAAATGAATTCTCAACTTTTTCCAATGAAGCTCTACTTTATCTAACGTCTTTACAATGTAGTGTAATATATCTAACATATTTATATAATAATAGTTACACTGTATGACGTAGTTGATGTTTACTAAATTCTATATTTTATAGAAACAACAAAATATTGTGTCGTCATGAAATAAAATGTATTTGAAGTAAGATTTATTATACTCTAATTATATTGATATTTAATATCTTAATTAGATTAGTTTACAAATGCGATCACTAGATGGCAGATGTGTAACTGTCATTGTCAAAAGTAACCAATCATAGATCAGGAATTTTGATGTTGAATGGTATCATAGTGCGCCATCTAATGATAGCTAATAGAACTTATTGGTGTTTGCTTATAAGGCTATATTGTATGGAAATTATATATCGAAATAAAATGTCTAATATAGAATTAGTTTCGTCGCATTCAGTGTTAATCTTCTTCTCTGCATGAGAGTGATGGTACTTGAAATACTCATTAATATTAGTATTATGTGATGAGCACGCACACACGCATAATTATATCGTAATTATGAGAAACAAAAATTGTTTTACTTAGCAATGTTAGCACCCATCTAGTTTCAATAGATTAGATAAACGTATAGATTAGAGACAAACAATCACATTCAAAACTTTGAGACTAAATCATTTCGTCCAGTTTATCGATTTCTTTACATTGCAAATGAAAGAACAATTTCCGACCTTTTTTAATCTCAGCGACACTTGGTCTCCTATACTACACCATCCGTTCGTATTGTGAATAAATACAAATACAATAAAATATAAAATAAAATACAAATTTAAAAATAAAGGAGAAAAATAATTTCATATTTTTGAATAAGGACTATTTCGGCCAGAACTAGCTCACATAAAGCGTATCTCATTTTGAGTTAAGTAGTTAAGTAGATATCTTTTAGTTGCTTTTACAATATTCTAACGACGGTTTTATTGACGTGTGGAGAACCAAATTTTGCGTTTAACAATGGTATAATCTTGAATTTCACATATTTTGAGTTATAACACAATCTAATAGCAATGCGATATACTCAAACATAGTGAAGACTGTTTTGTCCAGAACTAGCCGACTAAAAGTTTGACTCATTTTGATTTGAGATGTCTTTTAATTGTTTCTTACAATAACATAACAACGTTTTATTGACGTGTCGATAATCTTGAATTTCAGGTATTTTGAGTTACAACACTATTATAATAACAGTGCGATATGGTCAATGACAGTTAACTAAAAAGTTTGTCAAACTTTTTAATCTTTCGCCACATTCTTGAGACGACCCTACTCCATTAAATACATTCCAGTTCATTTTTCAAGTGAAGATTTAACTAAGTACCACCATTTAGACTTAATTTACGTCATTGTAAGGTGATATAAGTATAAACAAGAAAAGTGAAAAACCAGAAGCGAATGGTCTTCGCTTGTGATACGGACCAAAGAGACAATCGAAAATTTTATTTCAAGTAAATTCTACATAACTGTTGTCCACTTTCCTTTAACGGATGATATTAAAACCCGCAGGCAGGAGTTATGAAAATTGTTGCGTTAAACAACAGTAAAATAATCGCTGCTCAAACACAAGTGTAATCTAATCGGGCAAGTGAATAAAATTTATTTAAACTTATAAACCCTAGCGCATAGAGCATGTTGCGCCCGGGTGCAATTAATACCCTGGCACCCTCTAGTATGCACGCGATCAAAATCGAGCAGGCCGTACGCCTGGTAGTAAGCGACACGCCTATCCATATCTGTTGCAGGGCCACTCAGAGCTTTAAATCGCAAAGATTTGAGAGGCACTGCCACTGCGCCCGTCATCCTGAGATATAAAATGTAATTTCACCAGCACTCGTGCCTTTCAAAACCGGAACTCAGTAATGCTAACATTACTGCTTGGCGGCAGAAATAGTTAAGGTGGCAGTACTTCTCTGGACGAACTCTTTCACAACGAGCTCTACCGCTGCATCATACTGATTAAACTCTACTGCTCATTCGTAAGGCAGATTCCCCTGAGAAGAATGCACAAGAAACTCTAGGAGTAAATAAGTCTTTGTAAATAAACATTTGGATAAATTATTATTTGCAATGTTTACAATATTTAATTTAAACATCTTAGATCGAGACTACCTCCAAGAGCTAAACAGGTTACTACCACGGATTTTTGTCATCCAAGTACGCAGAAGATGTATAATAATAACCTTTTTTAGTATAAAGTTCTTGTTTCACTATAGTTTTCCTCCTAAATGGCAAACTACCTCGTAAATGGCAAATTTTCGAATATCAATCGGAATTTTATTATAGAAGCGTAGACATCCCTCCTTAAACGAATTTGAGACTGTGAAGATGACTGCCAATAACAGTTTGTTTTTATTTTTTTTGTATGTATGTTACGCCATAGCTCATCGGCATTTACAAATCGATTTTGATGATTCTTTTTTATTGGAAAGAGGGTAATTCAGTAGTGGTTCCATTTACGTCTAAGGGTGGCAAAATAGGTGATGAATGACTTTTGAAGTCGGTTTTTCAGTACTCTGTACTAAGATTATATTCGTTACTCTCAATTCGACAAGAAGAAGAAGTGAATAAGTATACGAGAAGTACAGGATGACTTTAGACAACAAATTCGTCGTCAGATTTGTACTTTAAATTCAGTGACATATAAACAGGTCCTATAATGTACCTAACACAGTTTAAAAAACACTGTTCCGATAGAAACGTAACAAACCTCAAAAGTCAATGAAATAAAACAGAACATTACAGTACAATAAAACATTTTTTATTTATATGACAAAAATGTATAAGTTATCAATACAATTATGGAAGCAACGAATGGGACTTTTGTGTCACAAATATCAGCTTTATCTTATACGCTAGATATTTTTTAGGAATTTAGTAATGTCGACTCTGTTTCATACATTTGTAAAACTAAATTTATTTGCAAAGTCTAGAAAATTATGATTGCCTCTTTCAAATAATTTTAGACTTATTAGTTTCACAAAAGTAAACAGAATCGCTTCTTACACTAGAATAATAAACTGCGCAATGAAGGAGAAGGAAATAAAATACTAAGTTTTAAATATAAAAAAAACTTTATGAATTGGTAGATTAGTATAATTGTTATAATATTATCGCACGTGAAGATCCACTGAGCACGGGTCAGTCGTCACAGCCACGAAATGAACCCGTAACAACAGGTTATCGTAACACATGAAATATGTTCGTAACTTCATAACTTCAAGTTGATTCAACCACTTGTGGGTGTGGTTAATAACCAACATGCTGAAGTTCTAATGAAATTAAAAGTAAAAAAAAGTCCAACTTATGAACAAAATCAGTCGAACATCGGTGTACAAATTCCAATTGAAATTCTCAAAGCCTAATTGAGGTTATTAGCGCAAAAGCAGTGTAACCCATATTCAATTTTTTCTACAATATTACTTTAAATAATACTAAACTGTAAAAGGTGTATGAAACCCCTCCGGTGAAAAAAGACGCCTGACTCTCCAAATGCAATTTCGGCCTTTATTCACGTAGGTGAAAGAGCGACATAAGAGACGTAAACGCACTTACACTCGATGTCGACTAACCGTCGCACGAGGTGGAAGCGGCAGCTGGCGAACGATGATAAGAAACGACGATTCTATTCATTGGCCCTATGATTCTATACAAGCCTTTTTTTTTTAAAGACACTTTGCAGTTGGCTGCTGATGACCTTGGCTATGCCACCGGAAGAAAAGGGGGCGAGCTGAAGGCTCATAACCCGTAAAATAAACTTAAAGCTAAGTATGAATACTTCCGCCAGAGAGGCGTGCTATAGGAGAGACTATACAAAGCAATTACCTTTTACAGCTTATGTAGTAATTTAGTGAACACTTCGACAGCGCATTCTGTTTTGATCCTAACGCCATCTAGCGGCAAGGTGAGGTCACTAAATTGTTTCGTGTTACAAAAGTACATAATTATTTCATATTTGGATCCTATCATATCATTTAAAGTAATATTATAGAAAAAAAATAAATGTGGGCTACACCACTTTTGCGCCGATAGCCTCATTTAATAGTTTCATAGTGCCTTACACTGAACAAACAAACTACAAAAATTTAAATTTAAAAATTATATGAATGTACATAGTTTCAAATTAAAATTCCGAGTGTACTGTAAAGTGTAGCCGCGTATACCTGTTTCACTTCTTAGGTAAACGACAGAGAGATGATTTTTCCATGCAATCTAAATTGGAACCTGAACGCTGATGCTATCAAACAAACCCTTATATTTTTCGTTACGTTTACAAATACATGTTATGGGCATGATTCTTTCGCGCGTCTCTATAACTAAATCAACATTATCCATTCTTAACCTAATAAAGAATGAAAACGGCAAAAACGGTATAACTTAAACCTACTCAAGGCGATAGTGCTTAGACAGGTGTGCATGCTCCATCGACCTCATCGTCACTTTCCATCCGGTGAGATGGAGGTCAAATGGGCACTTATTTTTTAACTAAAAAAATACGGATCGACTTGACAAAAATTATACAAGTGTAGATGTATCTACATTATAGAAGTTTGTATAGGAAAAAAAGCAAAAAAGATCGTAGAAAAAAATTACAAACTATTTAAAAACGTATTTACATGTACTTTTAAATCTTTCGTGTTGCATTATACTTATATTTTAACACAGGAATAAACGCGATTAAACTCCGTTTTCGCGGTAGAACCTGCATCCACCGCGGAGACCGAAACTTAGCACGGCCAGTGCAACATGGCCGAGATGTCGGAATAATAAGTACTTAAAGTACCGGCACGCTATGGTGGCCCTTTTGACGTTTGTTTGCTCATCTTAGTTCGTATTAATTCATAACCACGTTGAAGGAGCTAATTGCTGTACATTGTTGTCAATAGTGAGATGCAGTAAAATTTATGAAATGTATAATTTTATCACACAACTCGGCATTTGTTTTTTGAACATCGAAATTTAAAAAATGAAATCTAATACGATCGTCACTTATCGCTACGGAATCGCTGGCCTGCACAACTTCTATCTCCGGCAAACTCGCGTCAAAGCTCAATGCAAAACAAATCAGTTTCGAATTGACGATATATTAAGTAAACATTCTCATTTTTGTTTTATTAAAACTTTTCAATCAAGCTACGCCTTGCAATACTAGTTATAAATTTAAAAACTTCTAGATGGGACTCACATTTGATTATATTTTTCGCGTTTATAAACAATTTTGAAAATACCGCGCAAAAGAATCAATGCCAAAGTCTTAAATAAACAGTTCACGTTTGTAGTGAAAAGATATTACTTAAATATACAATCCAATATGATATAGAAGATGATTTATACAAAAAGGTAGATGTTAAAAAAAAACTAATACGCACAGGTCGACTAGAATCCCGTGAAAAACGATCGAACTTCTAAATAGAAGTCACAGGGAAGTACTGCCGATTGTTCTTTACTTTATTCTAGACGTACAAATTGTTATAAAAAGCGGTACTTCACGAGTAGATCCTAAAACACCGAAAAACTATTTTGACGTATAATACATAATTAGTCCAACAACATGGATACTCTTTCAAAATCTACTTTAACATCATCAAAATAGTAATTTCATAATATGATTTTAACGTATTTATAGTCTTAAAGACACTATTTAATATCTCAATTGAATGCATCACAATAAATAATCCTTCTTTACATGCAATCTTACCCATACAACTCCGAACATACAGCAGCATTGAAAAACATTTAATGTTACAATAATTATCAATAATCCAGACTGTATCAAATGCACTTTGTTTCAGTTCCATTTTTACAACAAATGCTCCTACATAAAAACTATATAAAATTGTATAAAGTTGTGCCATTTGTTACATATAACATTTCATGGCATAATTTTATAAAAAACATAATTTCATTGTTGTCATGTTTCCTGACACGATACACACATAGAGTAATAATTAACATCCTAATGTATAACAGGGCCAAAATATTATATGTATATACTTATTAAAAACTTTATATAGCTTCGATGTGGGAGCAGCGTAACACGTCAAAATCCAACCATAATTATAACAAAAATATCAATATGGCCACCCTGAAACATAACCTCTAAATTCGACAAAAACAAAGTACACTCACACTCTAAGTCTATATGCGACTACGAGATGAGAACATTCAACATTTTTAAATTATTTGATCACAAATAAAACGATCACTTTTCAATCACAAGTTGGTCTTAACACTGAAGTTGTAGTTACAACTTTTTATTAACTATTGGCCGTTATATAGGCCCATAGAGTACATAAAAAATCTAAACGGCATGAAGATTTGACAATTGTCTATGGCACTGGTTCTTCGTCGGTTCCCTCCTCGGAGTCGTACACTGGCGCTCCGTTCTTCATTTGAATCACCGACTTCTTTCTATGTCTGCTTTCTTTCAGATCTTTTTCGATATTCCTGGACAGAAAAAAAGAACATGGAGACGACCAAAGAACAATAACCTATAATCCGCACACGAAACCAAATAATATCGTAACCCTAGATATGGTCGTAACTCAAAGTTGTGAATTGGGACAAATCGATTCCAAAATTTAAAAAAAGACTGAATGAAAGCAATAATATTCTCGTTTATAAATGGATAATTAAGTATTATTTATATAAATAAAAATAATCACATTATTGGCAATAAGAACCACAAATTTTTTTTTTCGTCAGGTTCATTCTCCGGAAGGAGAACTTTAACACAGATTAAACCGACCTTTAAAAGATAAATAAAATGATCAACAACATCAACCTATTTATATATCCCACTGCTGGACACTGGTCTCCTCTCAGGCGACGGTTTAGCCCAATAGTCCGCCACGCTGGCCCAATCCTCCTCCTTGGGAACTTCACACGTTATCCGAGGATTGTGAACCTTCTTCGACATGCTGGTCTCATTACGAAGTTTTCTTTCACCGGTCATGGTAAATTTCAAATTAAATTTTACACATAAATGCCGAAAAAGTAAGAGGTGCGAGTCTGGACTCGAAACCAAGACATTGAGAGGCGGTAGGTCAAACTATTAGGCTACCAGGGCTCCTTATAATAAGATAATATTTTATATATTTTCACAAAAATATACGTTATATCAAAACAAATCACACCAACCTGGCACCAATAAGCGGACGTAGAGCATGCTTGAGGCTAGCAAATAGGTACGGATGCGATCGTTCTTGACTGGAGAGCAGAGCGCGCGCAGCGTCGAGCGGCGCGACGAGCGGCACAGACAGTGGCCGGCTCGCCGCAGCCGCTAGCTTAGCTGCAGAACCCACAGGCTCGGATACTGAACGATCTAGGTGTATTACTTCTTTGCTGCTGCAACTGTAAGAAACAAAATATCAGTCTATAATTTAAGGTCACAGAGATCTAATACAGAAAATATAAGAAGCAAGAAGTAAGTACTGATCATATTCTTTTTTCTATGTCATCCTGACGACCTGCCAGTTGTAAATTTAATCTGACCCATGGGGAAAATCTCCCATTGGTCTAACCACCAATCTGACCAACGGGAAGCACTAATATAATTCATTGGTCATTCTCGGACTAGTGTTCAACGCCTAATTTCCGTGGCAATTTTTATTATTTAAATGTTCGATTTTTTTTTCGTATATTATTTAATATTCGAGTACTGTATCGTGAAATATTATTTAATAATTTCACGATAAATACTTGAACATTTAAGTTATAAAAGTTACCACGGAAATTAGGTAGTGTATATTAGTCGTAGAATGACCGCCATAATAGTTTATTGCATAGTCACGTAATAACAAGGTAAGACTGTTTGCAATTTGAGTTGCGCTATTTTATTACATAATAATATTACATTAACTACATATGTATAAACTTAAACAATTTATATATTGCATAGTACACTGCCCAAAGTCGATAATTCCCCAAGTTCCATTTATATTTCGACCCCCCCTACGTAAAGTATCGTATGTTGAAATTGCCAAGTTTACAGGGGACCGTTTTGAAGTTTTGAATACACTGAAATTGAACACGTGACTTTATCTTAGAAATGCTAAAATAAATTGTAAAATGATAAAATAAATTGTGGTCGTTCACCTAACTGATATTTAGGATTTTATAATACTTCGTGTAACGAGCTTTGCCGACTAAAACTGAGAAATGCTAAAGCCGCGTGTTATACTCATTTCAGTGAAATCAAAACATTACCAAGTTTACGCTCCCCTGTAAAGTTGGCAATTTCGACATACGATACTTTACGTAGGACGGGTCGATTTGCGGTGTTATTCTACTAACGTCCATCCTTTTTCTACACCAATAAAATATTCTCTTTTGTTACTCTAGCTACTACATCATCTTTAGCATAATAACGCTTTCTCAAAGTGGCCGAATAAACGGAAGCTTATATAAATACAATTCGGTTGCTTATGCTATCATTGAATGCGCTCTTGTGTTGAAAAAATCCTGTGACAGCGGGATCGACGAAATTATTCACTCTAGTTTATGTTGCAAAAAAATAAACGCTTATAGTGTTGTTACTTGTAATTTTATGTAATATTTAAAGTTACTTTTATCTGCAGATATCAAGCATAGATGTTCACAGTACAGAGAACTAGTTGTCATATAACTAAGCTTAGTCAAAGGTAAACCAAAATATTGGGTATTTCAAATATAAAAATCGTAATATGTCACGCCATTCCGGCATCGCGGCATTAAAAAAGAAGAAAACGTATTTTTTAAGACGCTGTTTCCATATTTAACAACCATTCATGGGAACAATTGAACTTTTAAAGTATCCCAATATCCGCTACCACTTACCACATCTAGTGTTTAATAAAATTTCTAATTTATTTGATGTCTAAGTTGCTCTTCACATGAGGATTATAAAGATTAGAGCTATTTTGGAATCATTTTCGGAGTACCTAATAACAGAGATGTAATATTCCGTGATTGTAGAGGAAGCTCACCCAGGCTGCGTGCCGTCGTCGCTGTTGTCCGGGCTGTCGGGCGGCGACTGCGCTGCGCGGAAGTCGGTTAGCGCGCGCTGCGAGCAGAACTCCGCCACGCTGCGCTCGCGCACGTAAATGAACGGCCGGATGATGCGAATGTCGTGTTCCCTGCGGACATTTTATCATCATATTGAAATTTGAAGACTTACGTGACTGCATACGGTCATCTTTCGAGTATTTACATGTGATTTAGGTATCAAGCGGATGGAGTTGTGTCACAATGCGAGAGTGTTCCATATAACAGAGCCTCTACGTAGATGATGGCAAAACACAAGAAGTTTTTTCTGTATCTATTAGCCATCTATTAGCAAACCGTCTTGGAAAATTTTAGACAATAAATAGACAGCCATGATATTTTTACAACAATTTAGTTTATCTATGATTTTGTACCCAATATGAAGGCGGTGAGTTATAAAAACCCTAACACTGAAATAAAACTGATGACTGAGTATATTCGCCAATGGCGAAACGAGACATGTTTGTTGACCCAAAAAGTGAAAGAACATCCAAGAACAACGATAAACATCCTGTTTACTCCTTGGATGGTGGTAGAGATACTTCGCTACGAAGATCTATTAAAAGTATACAAAATATGGTCGTTGTGCTGTAGAGTTATAGATATGGTCTTTACTTGACATTTCTCTGGCGACATAATTTTCCAAAGAGAAGCAATAACTTTTGTCTTCGGGTTCATGTTAAGCATGCTGGAATCTAGAAGAACGGTTCACCTCTTCATTTGTGTGTAACTGTGTACTGTACTCACTTGACCCGATAGTGCGCTTTGATAGTCCTCAGACCGCCGCCGTGGAAGGCGTTGGCGACGAACGCCCTCGCGGCGTCGTCGAGGTGCTGCGCGACCGCAGCGACGGTGTAGCCGTGCGACACGGCCGCGGCGTACGCGCGGCGACGGGTCGCGTGACACGCCCAGCGGTTCAGCTCCGATAGCTTCGTGGTCGTAACGCTGTACCCTAAAAAAATTAAAATTCCATTACCGTCTTCGTATAAAAGAAGCTGCCTTTTTCACGCAGCGGAATGCACGAGACGACGGATCATGCGCCCCGCACTCCGGAGACGCATTGTCGGTGTGTTGTACGGCGCGTGTTTTCTATACAAGCTGAGATACTTCGGTACTATGTTAAAAACGCAGCTCCGCACACCGTTGAGAAATTTAACAATCCGCACGCCCCAACAAATTTAAAAAACTTTATACCATTCTTTTTTCTAATCAACAACAACCAACCTATGTTCACTTACTCTGAGAATCATCATTGTCAATTTTGTCCTGGTAAATGAGTTTGACGCCAAGTGTTCTGCAGTAAGCCATGAGATGCAATGGGTCCACCTCCGTTTTGGGCTCGTGGACGAACAGTGCTCCTAAAAAAAGAAATTTTTGTATCACACTTGCTATGTATAAATGTAACCGAACGTCTATCCTGTCTTTCAGTTTTTTAACCTGAAATGTAAGGCTCTATGATAATGTATCACATTTCATAACAAATAACAATAACAACAACGCACACACTCATAGCCTAGGGAAACCCTATACCGTGACGCATTGGACGCACATATAGACAACCACAAATTACACCCAAACTCATGAGATAAATAAATGTAGGCCATACAAATATTTCTCCCATGTATGGGATTGTAGAACAAAAGTACCTATAAAGTCAAATCAAAAATACCATTATTAGGTAATCAAATTGCATTTGAAACAATCACATAGGTATATTGAACATTACTACCCATTCGCAAGTCGATTTCCTTGAGAAGAATGAGTAAGAAATTACAAGTTGCCGTAACATTTGTTCATTTATCATTTACACAACCATATCTATGTACTATATAGCATTTTTATTCCAATATCATTGATAGAAACAACATGAAAAAGCTAAATGGGTAATTACCACGGATTTTTCTCATCCCAGTACGCACAAGTATTATAATTAATGCATTTAGTAAAAAAAATTGTTTTCCTGTAGTTTTCAACCTCGCAAATGACAAATTTTGAATATCAACAGGAATCTTATTACAGAACTGTATTCATTGCCCCTTAAATGAATGACTGTGACTTTCTGAAGAAGACTGTCAAGGACAGCCAATTTATTTTTATTCCTCGTATTTGTTACGTCTATGACTATTTTTACTAATAAATTTCTGTTGTAACATAAATGTACCGTGACATTAAATTTGACCGTGATATTAGAATGTTAAGACTGTCTGGGGCTCACTTTGTAAAATGCCCTAACAGCACTTTTTTGCAAGACAAAGATTGTAATAAAATCGACGGCATTATTTCAAAGCAAAACGCCGTTACATAACAAGTGTAACAAAAATAATAACGTTGCGCGACTTTGAATGTTACCACTTCAAATGGGCAAATCATTCGTTTATGTCGAATTCAAGCACAACCATTTTACAATCATTTTTATTTTGGAACTCCACCCAGTCATGTCCATATGAAAATATCCCTGTCCTCGTCATATTTACGCTATTTACCATATTATGTGTCATAGAGAACCCTCTAAAGAAATGCTCAATGGAATCTATGTTTTAGTAATACTAATTAGTAATGAATGATAATTCGGATCATTCGAATACGAATATTAGAGTAGGTTAGTGTAAATTGTCATTCGAATAACAGAACTAGTAATTACTAACGACTCGAATATTGAAATCAATCGTAATCGCGCATCGCTACCGGTGACCATGCCAATAAAAAACGAATACAAAAATTAGGGCCTAAAATCATCACAAACAAAATATACGCCGAAATTTTATTGAATTTTTAGGGCAATGACACAGGTGTAAATAAAAAGCTGCGATCATAGTTTAGCAAGAAACAAATATAAACGCAAATTTCTAATATACTGTGCACGTTTTGCACGACGAACCAAATTTTATTGCAAATTTAGGTATACGTACCGATGCTAAAGTGCACGCCTTTGGCACGCGAGTAAAATTGATACTGATGAATAGTGTGCAGTAAAGCTACGGACTCCGGGCCTCCCGACAGGCAGACCAGCACCTTGTCGCCTGGGCGGATCATGTTGTACTCATGGATTGCCTGCAAATAACATAAGGTTAGGTTTTTGTCCCATTAGAAGCGATGTCTCTATGGTTTTAACACAATACTTACAGGGAACGGAAATACGACTGAACATACCACAGCTAAGTTGAAAGGAATTCATCGATTGAAAGTGAAAAGTATTGCCATAAAAGTATCCAAATCAGACCAACCAAATTTATAGAAAATTTTTACTAGTAAATTGGACGGACAAACCGTACACAGATCAGAATAATTGTTAGCAATGCCAAGCACATACAATGCGAGGATTATAATGTGGTAGAACTCACTGTTCGCCACCTTGATAACCGGCGAGTCCATATCGAGAAGACCTGGAAACTTGGGCAATCAAATAACTGCTTCAAACACCGACCACGATCGATATTAAATCATTGAATATCGCATGTCCTTTGCAGAAACTTTTAAGTGTTTAAAAACGGTAACTTCCCAGGACAAACTGCTACTATTTTCTTATTTGTGTAAAACTTGCAGGGGAGTAAAAGAAAAAACAAGAACGGTATAGTATTACCTCTAGGGTGGGTTTCCAGATGCTCTTAGGTGGACAGTGCCACTTGCCCTCATCGTCACAGGTGAAGTCGGTCAGTGAGGTATCACTACAGGCGCTGCTGTCGTCAGCTTCCTCCTCCCAACACTCTTCTTTGAAAGTACAAAATTCGTCCCTGGAAAAAAAATCATAATGAGACAGCTGTACAGAAAGAAGCAGAATCATAATTAAAGTACCTACACAAATGCTGTTCGATGTGTAGAACTGGCTAAATCATTGTGAACATTCATATACCAGATAAAATATTAAACATTACATGGATTTCTCAAAGCGATGAGTAAGGTACGAGTGCCTGCGTAATAATTCTGAATACATTACGCCGTTAATATTCTCGTACACTCAAAAATGTTATCAGAAAATTAGATACTGTACCTCCTATCATAAAACTGTTCATCAAGCGAGGGTCGTGAGATGTCAGTGCCATAGCCGCTGGAACGCGAGCTACGGTCCGAGCTGGTCGAAGAAGTATTCGAAAATCGAGTAGACCGTTTTGAGTCTGATTTTGAAGTTGTTCTGAAAGGAATAAATAACGTAAAAACTGGTTTAACTATGATTAAAAGATTTGTAATCATTCATGATAGCATTTCCGCTCTATCAATTAGGATTTGTGAATTTCATAGATCTATTATAAACTATAAGTTAAAAAATAATATAAGGTAAAAATATAAGTTGATATTCTTAGTGATCTCTCTAGATACTTATAATGATCCCCATTAATGAAAACCCCAGAATACCGATAAACCACCGATAGTAGTTATCATTGATAAAATGAAATGGTTTTTTGGTAGCAGTAGCCGAAAAAGTAGTTTTTCGGCTAGTAAACCATCCCTTTAAATACAAGGCAAGTAGTTACTCTAATCGCCAGTTCTAAAAGTTCCTGATTTTAACATCCTTGTTACTTGAACTTTTAGAACTGGCGCATGATGATAATATCGCGATAAGAGCCTGACATAATGAATAATGACCGTCCATCCCGACAAACAGAGATTTTGATTTATTGCCAACAACTTCTAACTTCCGTTAACTCTCAAAATTTTGCCAAGATGTGAAGGTTTCTTAAATGACGTCTGAGTTTGTTCACCTAATTGAGATATAAAATCTAAAGAAATTTTTATTTGGACACATAAATTTACAAGACACACATTGAAATTTCTGTAAGTAATTAATTACCTGTCAGGTGTTTCTCCTTCATTAGGGATCTGAAATACAACTCTCCCTAGATCAGTTTGGGTATTATTGTATCTTTTAGAAGTTCTTGTGTGGTCTCCAGAACAAACCGGTACGCCCTCTATTATGTCCGGCACTTCGCTTTTTTCATGTTTGTGGCACATTCGGAGTCTGCCTTGTAGTTTCTTTGCTTTGTTTGTTATGGGGTCAGAGGATGTTCGCCATTTTCCTGAAATACAATTAATTGAAATACAGTTCATACTTACACAATTTTTTTTAACAAAATTGGTAAATCCAAACAAAATATAATTAACATTCATAACGAAACAAACTAACGTTTGATGAATTTTATTAAATTATTTGGTAAATTTATTAAATTCTTGATTGTCATAACAAAATTCTAGAATTTGTAAATGGAACTTACCAAACTCTACATAAGAATCAGCTTCGGTAAACGTCATATTGATACCGCTGTCCTGGGAGCTAATAGATGGATTTTGGCACCAAGTTTTCTTGACACAGCAATGTCTGCAAGTTGCGTCGTTGCAACTCGTCTCATCGTCGGATAATTTGTTAGAGCTTAACGATTTAGGAAGGTTTGGTGAATTCTGTGTTGTTACAACCTGGATTATTGTATCAGGAGTGGATGTCTCGCTAGAGTTGAAGGAAATACTATTCGGGCCAGAAGCATCATGTACAGGAGTACACTGAGCTGATTTGGGAGATTGCGTTAAAGGCGACCTCTTGTAATACCCACTGTCCTCCTCATTAATATACTGAGAAGGTAGGACCGGACTAGTTGGACACTTTCTGAGGCTTGCTCCATATTGAGGTTTTTTCAAATCCAGTCCTAGCTCAGGACCCGAACCAATTCTTTGCCTTCCACTTTGAGGAGGTGAACTCTTCCTAGAACAGGATCCAGTATAATCAGGTGAAATCATTTCATCGACTTGATTGACCATTTCTCGAATCTCGTGTTTCACTTCCGAAGCCATTTCTCTCGACATTCCCATCAAATACTCTGCTACGTCTACTACGAATACTGAATTCTTCTCGCTCTGACTAGACATTGAATTCATACTAATATTTGACTGATCGAGCGATTCTGAATTCTCTAGAATATCGTCTACTTTTGATATTACTTCACGTATCTCTGACTTAAGCTCCGTGGCTATTTCTTTTGATATTTCCTTAACATATGCATGCAGATCTTCTGAAGTCTGAGAATTTAGAGAAGTTGTAGGAGACATGCGACCTACTTGACTGCAGTCCGATATCGACGTACTGCTTTGAGCATTGTAAGGGAATGCTTTTTCAGGTGAGATCATTGGATCATCCAAGGACTGTAGGTCAGTCTGACTACCACAATTGCAAAAACTGCTTACTTTCTCTACTACATTATTCGGGTATGATTCTTTCAAACCGAGATTTAGTTTAGCTTGTGAACTCAATTGTGCTGGAGGGCTATCGGATCCCAAACTATAACATCTAGATCGAATTGGTTGTTTAATATGAGGGACCAGCCTCAAAGGTGATACCGACTCACCGACAGCGAACTGAACTGGATGTGGAGTTACAACATTTTCTTTGTGTGTAGGTGTCTCTCTAAGACTAGATTCTCTTGAGAAAAACTTTTGTTTTTGTTTTATTCTGAACAAACGACAATCAACGTCAATATCTGAGAGACTGAAGTGTCTTGCTGACGAGCCTAATATAGGTGATGAAGATATACAAGATCTACCTAAGTGCAAACTCTTTCTCGCTCCCGTGTAGCCAGAGGGATCAAAAGGAACAATGTGCTTGACATTTCCGGAACGACCCAGCAAAAGGTCATGTGCTTCTTTTGGCAACATAAACCATCTAAGATAATCAATGCGTGGGTTGAAGCCGACAGAGGGTTCGGCTATTGGACATTTCATTGCCAGTTTTCTTGCTCTATTAAATAGATTTCTTGCAGTTTGTAAACATTCTGTGTATGTTTGCGGGAAAATACCTGGACCTATAACAAACAAATGAGTATTTGAGAGTTGGATCGGTTTTATAAACAATACGTACCTGTTTAAACAGAATGCGAATGCGAAACTTACCAGAAATTTTTCTTTCGTGTGCAGTCATCTTTCCATCGTTAAATCTGATGGAAAACAAGGACTTTTTGTCTTTAAGCACTGAGCATGTATGATGTCTCCATTGTCCCGTTTCAGGATTCACAATATACTGTGGCAAAATCTTCCAGCCTTCTGTTGCGACCATTTTTAATGCTTCCAGGACAAACGCTAGTTCACAGTCAGACATAAAAAATGGAAGTGATACTCTGCAGAAACTTGGCCTCAAGTACTCGTTGTAGATTGGCACTTCAGGAGCTTTTGCATCACTTAGTTTCCGGACTCGAGCTATTTCTTTTTGCCTGGAAATTAAAGTTTCGTTGTTCGTAAATAACACCTTGTAACATGACAAGACACTTAGCCCTATTCAATGTAGTGTAATATAAAAAATAGAACTTACGCTTCAACATCGAGCAACTTCTCATATTCTCTAAGCAATTTGTCGTCAATTCCCAATATATCAGCTCCGTAATTCAGATTGCTATTCAATCCTCCCCTCGCTTGGATGCCGAATACATCATTTAACACCGCGCATACGAAGTTTGGATGCAAGAAAGTTCCTCGGGGATGCTTCACCATCAAGGAGAATATTGGCAATCTTTTGCCAGTCGCGGATTCGCTTCCCAGCAATATTAATTCTGGAATATTCTTAATGTGTGATAGAACTTGTCTGAAACAAAGAAACATTTGCATTAAAATGAGAAATAATATTATTGTGCCTTAAAAAAGTAAAAATGTTCTTTGTTTCTATTTGTCTTTCTATTATTCAAAAAAAAAAAAATGTGTTATGTTATCAATCAAGCATGAATTTAAAGCAAATATGACAACCTGATAAAAACGAACAATCAAAGAACAATGGCAATTGAAACTAATCGAATCTCGATGTAACCGGAAAAAAACGATTTATAATTTTGTTATTTTGTAAGCACAACGTCTTGCAGTCAAGGATGTAAACAAGTTACATGATAGGTCAAAAAAGAATTGTATGCAGATGAAGCAAGTATTTTTAGACACTTTGGATCCCTTTACACTTTTACTGTCATAGTTTTTGCTATATGTCCGGGTCTTTGTACTTCATTGACATCTGTAAAGTTACCAAGTTGTTTTGCAGCCGACAACAATATTCTTCTATGGCAAATTTTATTTAAAATAGTTTTCGATTTAAAAATCAATTGGAAATATATTCTGAAAAAATGACTTCGCTGTGTTGTGTTTTTTTCCCATTGGCCTTGACCGACCAATATTAGATGTCGATATCCGACCCGAATAGTTAATTCTAATTTTGAATTCAATTTGGTAAACCTAAAATTTCATAATGACTTGCATTACAAATCATCAGTAGTTGATTATTTTTTCTATCCAAATAAAGTAAGGCAATTTTTATATAAGAAAATCCTTATCGACGTTGCAAGGAATCAGCCAGTTCATACATTGAAAATCTTCTTTCCATATGAGGTGGAAGTTAAAATTCAAATAGTATCTGAACGAAAAATAAATCATTTTTAGCTTATTCGATTATAGAAGTTAATTCTAAGAAACGATATAAAGATTAAGAAACAGAAATAGATACAATAAAATTACGATAGACGGAAGCAGCGCCTAGATATCTAGAACTGTACACATGATCTGAACGCATCTCTCCTTATCTTAATATAGGTAACAAGTTTTACAACAAATGTTAAATATACAGCTGACATATTGACTGAAAATCAATTACAAATATTACTATTAATTAGTATTTTTTTCCAGCAAGCAATACAACCAACGAGACTCTCTTTGTTCAAATGACTTTCCCAAACACAGATTGCAGTAAAACTGTTATAAAAATTTCACTCAGACCAATCCAGAACGAAAGTTAAAAAATGTTACATTTCTGCTAATACAGTAGATATAATACAGATTAAAAAGCATCATAACTAATCTCTTAGATAATGATGATGGAAAATAGTACAACCATCACGTTTTATTTGTGTACATAGCCCACCCGTCTAGTACATTTCCGCATCAACGTCAACAAAGAATTGTTTACACGAGTGCATCGCGTGAGTACATAATGCCTCATAAATTAATTACTTCAAGAGTTTGCCAGACAACATTTTGCGCAATTACATCACTCTGTAGGATATCAATTTCCAATTTTATGATTATTATCAAATTTATTTACGACGAGAATTTATTGCTAATCCAAAACAACATTGGTTTTGATTTACTTTACTGTTGTGTTGTTCTTCTCGAGTTTAACTACGGAAGACTGTTAAACAAGCGTTTTACATTTTAATATCTTGGCTAGAAACCTAAAAACAAAATGTAACTATTGTGCATTTTTTTACGTCATATAAATTTTATTCGTCCCTATCACAAGGTTAAAATGTAGTTTGTGTTCAGCGTCTGTTAATCTACGCCATTATACTAAAATTAATCTATTATAGGATGATCCTTGTTACAGTTTATAAAAATCTACAGATAACCTTGTGACGACGTGCACCAAACGTATTGCTTATAATTGAATAGCTTTTGTTTAAGTAAATACATTAAATTAAAGTAAAAATAACAACAAATTAGTGTTTGTGAAAAAAAATAGGGGAAACAATTTTTTTTTTCCAAAACATCTTTAAATTTTACTACATACAAAGGTTTACTCCATTACAATTGCACTATTTGGCCAATAATACAACGGCCAAATACAGAAAAGTAATAAGATCTCCTACCACGACGTTAGTTCAAATGGCAGAACACCACAGACGATGTGATGTGTAATTCAATAGAGTGTAGATGACAGCAAAAAGAAATTGGTGAGTATTTACAAGAGGTTATGTAACATATCGTATAGCTAAGAAAGCCACTTAAGCTAACCCGGTGCATATATGGAACGGGGTCACATAATGAGGAACACACTTGGGTAACTGGCACATTGCCAGGAGATAGCTAACAATTGAGACGTTCAACGCGATTTTGGTTTTTGTTGTATCTTGTTTATTACTGAAAACTTATCTTTCCTTTTTCTAAACGTTGTTGTAATCAGATTACCAAAAATTTTACCTTCGGCCAGAGAAGAGAGAGAAGTTAGAGAAATCTAAAAGACTTGTTACAATCTTATTACTAAATGTTGTGTCCACAATCATTTTAACTTCACTTTTTATCTCGAGATCTTAGGTTTTCGCGATTGCCAGATGTTGGTAACGATATAATTTAATTGAGTCTCTAAATCAAGACGATGGGACCTGTAAAGAGCCTGAAAAATTGGTTAGTTTGAGAAAACAAATAATACGATTTAGATTCGAAAATCCATCACGGGGACTCGGATTTAGTAGAGGCGACTACATAGTCTTAAACACCGACGTAAATTTGCCTGCTTATCGGTATTCTACAGGATATGTCACGGAGAGTATGCGATGGAATTGCATGATTTAGTTCCACTTCACCTTTCCATCATCGGGGGACTAGACGTAAGCTGGGGTTCCACCCCTATGATGTGGATATTCCAAAGATTCGCAGGAAGCATTTGGCTTCCATATATATGGCAAACGGCTATGGAGTGCAATTCTCTACATGCAGACTTGGGCTTTTTCAAGGCGAGAGTGAATAGGTATTATTAGGTGGGCATGCTCCATCGTCGACTTCATCGTCAAATAGCTGCTTAGGTGAGATGAAGGTCAAATGCGCATTTATGTTTTTAATTAAATTAAAAAATATTCTCACTTTTTATTCTTTATACATACGTGGCTGTAGGTATCTAGTTGCTACAATATTACAAAGTACATCTGGAACCTTAATCCAAAATGTGCAATCAAAGTGAATCTTCAAAGCAGTGATTTCGCTAAATAAACATCATTAGTTAGCCGATATTCGATGGACAATCTGACTAAGTACGATATGGGTAGTTTTAAATGCAAACCACTTATTGTAAATGGTTGAATTGCTTCCTACTGCAATCTTATCGAGCCCAGTCTGCCATTCAGGCTCCGATAAAAGCCAAAGAAACGTGCCGAGACCATTTTCCTTTCTTTTAGACGTAAAGTGTCTTAAGTACATTAGTACGTAATTGTAAAAATATCGCTAAATAAAGCACGTTCCCGAGATAATGAGTGTGGTTTGATGTTTTTGCTTTTGAGAAAAATATCTGTTTGCCTCTTTTCTTATTCGTGTTTTTCTTATGACACAAAAATAAATAGGAGTTGGAAATAGGTAGACGATATCTTTGACAACTTGTACATCACTATTTTCCGAAATTTAATTTCAGTTAAGAATACGCACATTGTGTGATTGGAGCTGTAACGAAACGAAATAAACATAGATCCAGTTACAGTATGCCACCGATTCTCAAAACGAGAACACGCCGCTAGCCTCACTAGCCTAGTTTAATTTGTCCATGGATAAGAATACCTGTGTGAATAGACGCAAAAAATACCGCCTGAGCTTGAAGAATGCCAAATACTGCAAGCAAACCATGTTCATTTATAACAAACGAGACCTTAAAACATGTGCAAAGACAATAGAATTTTTAAAATATAATCATTCGTCTGAAATTCTAATCAACTAAAAATTCCTGACCCAACATTGTACGTAAACACGAGCAACCACACGCGGCTGACACGTTTGTGTGGTGTGTACTATACTCATAATATTCACACAAGCCACTCCAAACAAGCTCGTCGACGGAAATATCCCGCCCATATCGAATAACAAGCCCTTGACATTTCAACAGCATGTTATGAGCCCGTATTATATTGCTATTGCGATTTTTGTTCCTTTGTAATCAGCGTTAAGGATTAATCCATGTAATTACAATGATAAGATAGTAATCCACAATAAAAAGGTGCTGCCACATAGCACCCACTTAAAAGTTTTTTTTAACAATAATGTGGAGTGTAATCATAAGACAAAAGTAACTTGCTCCATTTCGGTAAAAATTTTACTTTTGCTCTTACAAAAACCATTATAAAACCTAGTTTCGAACAATTTATGTTTCAAATTTGTTTTTGGTTTATGAATATTCACAGTAGTACCAACAATCTTTTTGGATTTGGCATGTGAAAACAATTTAATACCAACAATACTGTTCTTCCTCTCTCTCAGACTTCTAATCTGTGAAGTATATGAGTACAACCACCTCTGTTCAGCGCCTTACACTAAAATTAACATTTTCCTTTGTCTGATCTAAATAATTCCCCCTAGCTTTTCCTCTGCCTCTCCTTTCCTTTTTTCCTTCGATTTTCCCTTCTATACTGCTTCTAAGAAAACTATTGTGACGTATGTTTTAGATGCTCAAATATTTTTAACAACAGGCAAAATATTTACTGTTCGAGTTATGGAATGACAAAAGTCTTCGAATGTTTCAACGACTTAGTTTACAATTTTGTTATAGTCGAGGCTGAGCATTATGCAGGTTAAAGCTAGCTAATCAGTGTAGTCTTTAGTAAAGTCTTTGTCTGTAGTAAACTTCAATGGTTTCCACATATATTTTCCCTGGCCAGCAGATTAAGCTCCGCTGCATGCGTAGTCCGCAGAATACGTGAACTTGCCGATGTTAGTACTGCTAGACTAGTTTACTTTAGTTACTTCCATAGTATAATGTCCTACGGGATTCTCATGTGGGGTAAAGCGGCAGATATACAAACCATATTTGTGTTGCAAAAACGAGCGATTCGTTCTGTTTACCGTTTAGGTTCT